GTGTGTATATACATATCTTTTGAAATTTTAGGCTTAAGATATTGATCATCTATTTATGGTATTTCAATTTTATTTATTTATTTATTTATTTGCATTTTGGTGTCATAATAATTGTTTAATTTGAAATTGCAAACTAAAGGATTTGTTTTTATGTACTACTGACTCTGTTACTTGTGACCTTCTATTTAGGAAAACCACAATTATGCCGCTTGACCACAAGATCTTTGACGCAAGTTAAAGAATTTATTAATTTTCTAAACTTGCAAAAAAAAAAAAAAAAAAAAAAAGATCTTATATGCTCTTTTTTCCCCCACACATTTTAGCTCGAAACAATGAATGCATACAATATAGCTAAAGCAATGCCACATTTCTTTCCAAAATTTACCTTCAAAGTATTAATGTTTTTACCTAATCGTACTTATTTGAGTAATTCTGCATTTGATTAATAAGTAGATATATTTTTAACATCGGATGGTGTTAGTTCATTCACAAATAGCCAATAGATATAGACTTTGTTGGGCAAACCTAACTGAAAGCTTAAAAGTAGCTGAAAGCTGAAAAGCTATAAGGTAGAAGATGAAAACTGAAGTGTTTGGTAAAATTAATTTTTTGATAAGCTGATAAATGTAAAAAGATTAAAAAGAATATTTTCATAAAATTTAAATGATGTGATTATTATATTGTTTTTATATTATTAAATATATGAGATATATTTAATTTATATATTTTTTTTGTTTTTATAATTTATATGAGATATATATTAAATTAAAACAAAAGAAAAAAAGTTTTAGATATGAACGGACGATTGGAGTTAGAACTTAAAGTTAACTTATAAAGAAGTCATGGAATATAGTTAGCATTATGCTAACATTAAGAGATCTCTACTTAAGGCATGCTTATAAAGTTTTAGAGGTCATACAGTGTACTCTTTTGTACAATTTGGATGCGTTTTCTCATTCAGTTGTGCACATAATGTATTTTGAGAAACATCCCTTAAGGTACCGAGAATAAACATAGGGTTTGTTCATTAAGGACCTAAGTTGGAGAATTAAAATGCATGTGACCATAATGGATACTACTCTGATTAAATAGAGGACATATCACTATGATTCGTGTGTTTTGTTCTTTGATGATGGTTGTGCTAGTACTTGCACCAAGTGGGAGAATGTAAGATTTTCCCTAATAATATATATTATACATTATATATTAGGGCCTTAATTAAGTGGTGCAAGTTGACTAGGCTTATTAAGTGGTCTGGTTGGACTTAATAATTAGTAGTTGTTAGTCAACCAAACTCTGTGCCTAATATAACCTGGATTGATGGGATACAGGATTATGGATTAGATAACACATTCAGTTACGGTACTCAGACCGCTCAGTAGATACCAATACACCATCTAGGGTTCTGAGTCAGGTCTGAGGCAAAACATGGCTAACGGTCTACCGTTAAGAGGCAATACTACAGGAACATCAACTATGGCTGGAGATCTACATGGCTACGCTTCCGCTATCATACGAGGTCAGGTTTCTCGTATACTATGGTTTATTATAGTTAGATTATTTATATCTTTTGGCTATTTTTGATGAGTGGGAGTGACAGACGTGTCAACTTCAAGCTCTTAGCTGTTAGAGATAGTACTTAAAGTTAACTTATAAAGAAGTCATGGAATATAGTTAGCATTATGCTAACATGAAGAGATCTCTACTTAAGGCATGCTTATAAAGTTTTAGAGATCATACAGTGTACTCTTTTGTATAATTTGGATGTGTTTTCTCCTTCAGTTGTGCACATAATGTATTTTGAGAAACATCCCTTAAGGTACCGAGAATAAACATAGGGTTTGTTCATTAAGGACCTAAGTTGGAGAATTAAAATGCATGTGACCATAATGGACACTACTCTGATTAAATAGAGGACATGTCACTATGATTCGTGTGTTTTGTTCTTTGATGAAGGTTGTGCTAGTACTTGCACCAAGTGGGAGAATGTAAGATTTTCCCTAATAATATATATTATATATTATATATTAGGGCCTTAATTAAGTGGTGCAAGTTGACTAGGCTTATTAAGTGGTCTGGTTGGACTTAATAACTAGTAGTTGTTAGTCAACCAAACTCTGTGCCTAATATAACCTGGATTGATGGGATACAGGATTATGGATTAGATAGCACATTCAGTTACGGTACTCAGACCGCTCAGTAGACACCAATACACCATCTAGGGTTCTGAGTCAGGTCTGAGGCAAAACATGGCTGACGGTCTACCGTTAAGGAGTTGAAAGAGTTGCAGAAAATAATGAATAAAAATATAGGAGAAGAGAAAAAGTCAAAAATATTTTAATTGGGAAGGGTAAAAAATGTCATTTATTTAAAATAATACGGATAAATATGAAAAATGTTATGAAGCTCCTAGCTTATTTTTGAAATGCTACCTAAGGTAGCATTTCAAAATAAGTTTTGCCAGTCCCCTACCACTTAGTGTGCTGACCGTTGGGACTGGGGATTAGTCTTCTGGCTTTCGGCTGGAGGGATACCTTTGGGCAACAAAAAAAAAAACTCTTATTTTAAGCTACTAACTTATTTTGGAAACATCACCAAACAGAGCTTATAGCTTATTAATAGTTTAAAATAAATTATAAGTCCCTAAATAAGCTCTGCCAAACAGAGCCATAAAGAACTTTATTGACATGTCAAAAAGTAATTAAAATCAAGAGAGGAAAAAAAAATTTCACTAATATACACATTATGACATTAACAGGGCGTTTGGTTGGAGGGGGAAATTATGTGGGAAAGGAATTGTAATTCCATGGGAGTTGAATTACTGGGAATAAAGTGGAAATTTAAATTCTAGTGTTTGGTTGACAGGAATAGAATTACTGGGAATTTCAATTCCAATGTTTGGTATACATGGGAATTGAAAGGGAATAAGTAGTATAAAGTCAAAAATGTCCATTATTGTTGTTAGACATTAATTTTAGGTTAAAAAAGGAAGGGTTAATTTTGACTCATCACTATCTTTTTTTCCCAGGAATTAAAATACCAAGGGGGGACATGGGATTTTAATTCCATGAAAATGAGGGAATTGCAATTCCATGGAATTGCAATTCCCTCCAACCAAACTACGGAATTTAATGGCCTTTGGAATTAGATGGGAATTAAGTGCGAAGGAAATTTAAAATCCCTCCAACCAAACGCTCTGTAATAAGTTAGATTTTTTCCTTTTCTTTTTGCATTTTGATGTCATAATAATTATTTAGTAACGGCTAATTAATGAATTTATTACTCCGTATATTATATTTCTTAAATTGAAAAGATGGAAATGATATATTAAATGTTTATTCATTTTAACTCAAAATAATGAATACTTTATAGCTAATATACAATTTAATGGATACATTTAATTATATGATGATAATAGATTATACATTTGGGACAAATCACGTTACCCTAGTAAAAAGTGAGTCATTGTGTGGATAACTTTTAATTTGTTTTCATTTTTCTTTTTATCTGTACATTGTAAAATGTAACTAGCAATTATAATAAATAATAAAATGTCACCCCAATAACATGCATCCTCATAAAGAAAATATATGACTCTAAATAGATTTCAAAATACCTATAGTTCATTTATATATTATGTCGGCCTCTAATTGAAATACTATCAACTCGCACAATAATTAATTTTTCTAGGTATGTAAACTAAGGTGCATGATATGCATAGTTTTCACTTATTAATAATCATTGTATTACTCTCACTGGATAAGAGTGACAATGATCGCTGCTCTCCCCCACCTGACTAGAAAATGACCCATAATTAATTACTTTCAGTTTCAACATTCATCCACCATTTTCCCCACACCCTACTGTATATAATAAATAGTCCATAACGCAATAATGAAACTCCAAGCAATCCCACTTAAAAGTTAAAGCCCTGCCCTCAAGTCATCACCAATGAACCATGAGCAATACCACTTATTGCGGCTCATTTAGTCTATTCCATGGGATCAAATGTTCATACTTCAATCTATGTTGTTAAGTGCTACGTTTTTTCTTTTTCTCGCCTATGTAATTAGAAAACGGAAAATTGATGTGTTTTTAAACTTGGGCCAAGTGTATTATTGGGCTATAGCGGTGTACTATTGATCAGGGTATTGGAGTTGAGCCATGAATGTGGCAAATTATGTTGTGGCAAATTATATCGTGCATCGCGATGCATAATCGATTATGCACTGCGTATCAAAATGATGTCGTTTTGTTTAATGAAAGGAAATGACATCCGTTTCCCGCTGTTTCGCACCCTTTTACAAAAAGTAACTCTGTTATTCAGTTTCATTTTGTATATACTTCAGTTTCAGTTCAACACAACTACAGTTTCATTTCGATATAACTACAGTTTCATGCGATATTTATAGACTCAAATGTGGGGAAAATGTTATTTAATTTTATTTTATATACATTATAGTTTTATTAAAACACTACATGATCATTTTGATATAATTACAGCTTCATTGTACAATATACATCAAATATGTGAATTGTTATTCAGTTTCATTTTATATACACTGCAGTTTCATTTCACTACAACTACAGTATCATTTTGATATAACTACAGTTTCATTTGATAATATAAAAATAATACGTGAGGCAGTGTTGGTTTAGATATACTGTAATGTCAGTTGGTAATTAACATACAAAAAAATGCGCGTTCCGTTAACACGCGCCGTTTCTTTGCTTAAAGAAACGACATCGTTTTGACCGCGATGCACGTGCACCGCGGTCCACAATATAACGACCCTTATGTTGTGGAACCGTGTCCACCTTGCAAGGTGGACACGGTTCCAAAACCGTTTATAATTATAAATATATAGTTCAAAAATTATGAACATATTGTTTTATAATTATGAACATATCGTTCTGTAATGATAAATATAGATATTCAATAATTGTGAATATGAAATTAAAAAATTATTAATATATAAATTTATAATTATGAACATATA